ACAAGAAAGAAGAGCTTGATAATGCAGAGCAAACTTCTATCTCTCCCCTCCTTTGTTCTCAAACTTTTCTGCTTCCATATCGTGTCTCAGCTAAAGATAAAAGTCCTGTAAGATCAAAAGGAAAAGGAGAAGTAGTTTTAACCTTATATACAGACCTTAATTTACCTTTTGAAGTCATTGCACCTGATAAATAAAGCGACCACATCTAATTTAATTGTCTTATTACCATGAGAATAATCTCTATGAACAGATATCTGCATCTGTATGCAGAATCCATAGGACAAGATTTTGATGTTGGTAGTGTTCTGGTGTCTGATTGTAGTCCCAGTAGTACTGACCAGTCATGTTGGAGTGGGCTCTGCCTGCAGGTTAACAGTCGGAGTGGGAGCACAGGAGGCAGAGCCCATTTGCTGAAATACAATCTCAGAACCCATCAGCTGTCATCTGATGATGATTTTGCTTTTTATTAACTTTTTTTCCCATTCATTCATTTTTCATACATTCATATGCAGATGTCTGTCTTGTCTCAACTTGCTAATGAAACTATAAACAATGAGTGGCACACAGCAGAGGAAGTCTTGGCCTGGATATCCTCTGGCTACACTGGATCTCCTGAAATATTGGCCGTTGCCCCCAGAGGCTTTTTCATCATCAGACAATAACTGATTGGTTCTGAGATTGCCATGGGAAAAAAAATCATTTTTTGTCTGGCTGGTTCTTATTTTGTTTTTGTTTTTTGTATCTGCAGCCAAAAGGTAGAGGCTGAAACTCGTCTGCTTGTCAGATAGAAGAGACATGATGTAATGGGTTTAATAGGTTTGAACACAGGATTAGGGTTTTTTCAGGTTGTTTTCGAATATGTTGGTGCAAAAAGAAGCCATTTTTGGCATTTGGCATACATCATTTATGCTAAAATTTATTTCCATACTATGATTTCTTACATATGATGTATAAACACTTGGACTCTTAGCACTGATACAATATTAAAGCCTGTTTAATGTCTATATAATCAAGCTCTTAAGGTCCTGGATAATGAACCTGAAAGCTACTATCGCTGTAATATTTCCCAGATAGGGTGTCCTTAGCTGTGAAAATCTTATTAAATTTCACAGTGCTTTGGGTAACCTCTAGCTAACCTGGTAGAGTGTGCACCACACAGAGGCTGCAGCCCTTTGCTGTGTCATCCCCACTGTCTCTCCCACCTCTCCTCTCAAACTACAGCTGCCCTATCAATAAAAGCAAAATACCAAAAAAATTAACTAATAAATTTCACAATGTTTTTTTTTAAATGTTCAGTGTTCTCAATGAACTACCACCTCCCTCATTAAGTAAATTAATCTCCCAGAAAATTTTGTCCCAAGGAGGAATTCTTATTTCCACTACAAGGCCTTCACAGCAAGAGCTTTCAGTTTTGGAACATCCTGCTAAGTATATGACATAGCGACTCCTACCGTTCATCCTGGTCTCACAAAAAGTCGTCCTTTAGCGACGGCATGATAGGTGGCAGATCACCGTTATTGTGTAATGGCTCTCTGCGGCATCAGGGGGAAACGCAGCAGGACATGAACTCAAGTTAAGGTGACAAAAGTCCGAGACAGGTGGTGGCTGGTTCCAACAAACACCAGCCTTCACCCAGGAGAGCGCTGTTCGCCCAGGAGAGCGCTGTATAAAGCCAAACCCTCCTCTTTTTTCCTAAACCCAACCAGGTGCGTTGTTGAAGGCACAAAACGTTCTGTGTTTTACTGACATATTTTGAAAGAGACTGTGCGTAAATGGTAAATTTCCTGTGAAAGCAGAAGTATATTTTGAAAGAAGATAATACAGTACATGTAACAGGCATAAATTGACACAGTGTCCCAGAACGTAAACATCCAACACACCCAGGGTACCTTGCACATCGTGTCTGGACATGGAAGGTCCATGACCAAACATCCATATGTGACAAGGTTGGAGTGAGACATGGCTGCAGTATAAAACAGTCAGACCTGCCATCTTACCTGTGCCTACCCCGTCTGCTCTCATCTGCTTTCTGCTTGTGTTTGTCAGATTGTTTCCCTTCTGATTTCACCTGTCTTCTGTAATGTTATATGGTTTTATGTTTTTATGTTTAAACTGCTTTTGCTGATTGTCTACTTAACATTGTTTTGTAATTATTGCCTGCATTTTACATGTCCTAATTTGCATGATGCTGCTTTACTCCTGTCCATTTGTAACTGCATATACTGTGTCTTTTATTGTTGTTTTAATGACAGTTGAAATTGAGCCTTATGGCTAACAATGGCACATTTACTGTGATGATGGTTAGTGTTCATGTTCCCTCATGATAAACAAATACATTAATAATGTGTTCACCCATGGAGTAGGAACCATCTGAAACCTCAGGGACAAGACTGATTTGCTCACCTGCGGCTCATAAGCGAAGACTCGGGAGCATGACCCTGTGACAAACTGCTGCAACACTCCAGTCGCTTGTTAGCGCTTAAAACCCCCACTTAATCCCCCCCACCCCACCCCCTTAGTGTGCCTCTGTATGCTGATGGTAACAATGAGGACACAGCTGCCTCCAGATGTGGTGGAAGATCTGCCTGTGCAAGCAGAAATCAAGAACCCAGTTGGATCATATGTATTCATGAACAATATGGTTCCACCACTGCTGACATGTTTGCAGACCATCAGCGCCGTATCCAACTCAACAGCTGGCGTAACAGGGATTCGAAATGATTTGCACACCTCTGCCTCATCAGTGCAGACCTTGAGCAGATTGCAACCAGGATGAAAATATGATATACTGAGAAGCTTGGCTGATTGATTATGGGCAGTGTGGTTACAGAAACTGCACAAGGTGAAGATTGTAGCTTCATTTATATTCACCTGTGGTAACCTGCTTCTGGAAATTGTTTTTCCTGCAAAGAGATAACATGAGCAAAGATGTCTGCTTCACAGTGGAAATATGCAAAGCAACATTTCTCAAATTCATCCATGTATCTTGGATAGATATTTCAACATTCATCATACACAGCAGTGCAATTTTAAAATAGAGAAGAGAGCATTGTTCTCTTTTTTTTGTGGGGGGGAACTGTTGGACAAAAACAACAAGTTTATCTCCTACGTAGGAGATATACAGTACAGGCCAAAAGTTTGGACACACCTTCTCATTCAATGCGTTTTCTTTATTTTCATGACTATTTACATTGTAGATTCTCACTGAAGGCATCAAAACTATGAATGAACACATGTGGAGTTATGTACTTAACAAAAAAAGGTGAAATAACTGAAAACGTTTTATATTCTAGTTTCTTCAAAATAGCCACCCTTTGCTCTGATTACTGCTTTGCACACTCTTGGCATTTTCTCTATGAGTTTCAAGAGGTAGTCACCTGAAATGGTTTTCCAACAGTCTTGAAGGAGTTCCCAGAGGTGTTTAGCACTTGTTGGCCCCTTTGCCTTCACTCTGCGGTCCAGCTCACCCCAAACCATCTCGATTGGGTTCAGGTCCGGTGACTGTGGAGGCCAGGTCATCTGCTGCAGCACTCCATCACTCTCCTTCTTGGTCAAATAGCTCTTACACAGCCTGGAGGTGTGTTTGGGGTCATTGTCCTGTTGAAAAATAAATGATCGTCCAACTAAACGCAAACCGGATGGGATGGCATGTCGCTGCAGGATGCTGTGGTAGCCATGCTGGTTCAGTGTGCCTTCAATTTTGAATAAATCCCCAACAGTGTCACCAGCAAAACACCCCCACACCATCACACCTCCTCCTCCATGCTTCACAGTGGGAACCAGGCATGTGGAATCCATCCGTTCACCTTTTCTGCGTCTCACAAAGACACGGCGGTTGGAACCAAAGATCTCAAATTTGGACTCATCAGACCAAAGCACAGATTTCCACTGGTCTAATGTCCATTCCTTGTGTTTCTTGGCCCAAACAAATCTCTTCTGCTTTTTGCCTCTCCTTAGCAGTGGTTTCCTAGCAGTTATTTGACCATGAAGGCCTGATTTGCGCAGTCTCCTCTTAACAGTTGTTCTAGAGATGGGTCTGCTGCTAGAACTCTGTGTGGCATTCATCTGGTCTCTGATCTGAGCTGCTGTTAACTTGCGATTTCTGAGGCTGGTGACTCGGATGAACTTATCCTCAGAAGCAGAGGTGACTCTTGGTCTTCCTTTCCTGGGTCGGTCCTCATGTGTGCCAGTTTCGTTGTAGCGCTTGATGGTTTTTGCGACTCCACTTGGGGACACATTTAAAGTTTTTGCAATTTTCCGGACTGACTGACCTTCATTTCTTAAAGTAATGATGGCCACTCGTTTTTCTTTAGTTAGCTGATTGGTTCTTGCCATAATATGAATTTTAACAGTTGTCCAATAGGGCTGTCGGCTGTGTATTAACCTGACTTCTGCACAACACAACTGATGGTCTCAACCCCATTGATAAAGCAAGAAATTCCACTAATTAACCCTGATAAGGCACACCTGTGAAGTGGAAACCATTTCAGGTGACTACCTCTTGAAGCTCATGGAGAGAATGCCAAGAGTGTGCAAAGCAGTAATCAGAGCAAAGGGTGGCTATTTTGAAGAAACTAGAATATAAAACATGTTTTCAGTTATTTCACCTTTTTTTTGTTAAGTACATAACTCCACATGTGTTCATTCATAGTTTTGATGCCTTCAGTGAGAATCTACAATGTAAATAGTCATGAAAATAAAGAAAATGCATTGAATGAGAAGGTGTGTCCAAACTTTTGGCCTGTACTGTACATACACAATTATCTTTTACTTTTTTAATGTAGTTTTGTTAAGAGCAACAATGCAATTTCCAGCTCTTGTTCTCATGTAAAGAACTGCACATCATCATTGTTTTTTTCATCCATAACGCTTGGACTGAGCTCAAACTTCACTCATCATGCAAATGATGTTGTGGGGAAACAACTAGTTACCTTAGCTTCCATAAAAGTGTCTTAATGCCTCTGTGAGTGATGTGTTCGTGTCATTCTCTGTGTCTGTAGGACTACCGTGTGAATATCTTCCTCCGTCAGCAGTGGAATGACCCCAGGCTCGCCTACGCTGAATACCCAGATGACTCTCTGGACTTGGACCCCTCTATGTTGGACTCCATATGGAAACCTGACCTGTTCTTTGCCAATGAGAAGGGGGCCCACTTTCATGAAGTCACTACAGATAACAAGCTGCTCAGGATATTTAAGAACGGGAATGTTTTGTACTCTATAAGGTAATTATGGCACAGGCCCTGTTTAACTGGTGGAGGTAGGGGTCAGTCATATCTGAGCGAAATGAATACACAACAAAATTTATTTCAGAAGTGACAATAGGTTCCTTTTTGAACACTTTTATTCTCTTGACTTTGACCAAACTGGCTGGAGGCACACAGTGCACCCGTACAATACAGCTGGGATTTGGAGGAATACATTATCTGTGGTGGGAATACATCATAAGCACTGTAGTTCTGTATAAACGTGCACCATAAGGATTTGTCTTTTATGGAGAATGCATCTGTAGTTTGTTTAAACATAACATTGATTTGTAGTTTTACTAAATCTTTTAATGTTATTAGTTTTTGATTCACAGTGCAGAAACCAACAGCATTCTTACTCCCAACATAATGCACTCTGAACAATACAACCCAAAATAATGTGGGGTATGTTACTCATCCAAGACAAGATTTATTTGTAATATAGAAAGAACTGAATTTTAATATACGTATTTTTATATATATTAAATTCATAAATAATATTTTGTTTTTCTAAGCTCTGACAAAAAAAATCTGAAAATCTCCAAGAATGTCTACATGTGTCTGTTTTCCCACTACATTCACTGTTAAAAGAAAACTTAACCCACAAAATGACCATTGTTATATCAAAGACTACCCAAGTGTTACCTCTGCTTTGTAAGGAAAACTTTGTTGCATGCCTCCACGGTGAACGGAGAATCCAAAAAAGAAAAACATTCTTCATGAATTGACGTAAACAAGAGAGCACCTGCTATACCAGATGAGCTAGTGGGCACCCCACAACAGCAGAACTATATCAATCCATCTGTTTACAAACTTTCATACAGTACAATCCAAGTCTCAATATGCAGTTGTATGCTCACTACTTGCTAAACACAGGAATTTCTACTAAAACATTACTATTTAAAAAGCAGCAGTGCAAACAGTCTCATACTCAGGGCATGCTACTTGTGGGTGGGAGTGTTTCATATTGAAATGTTTTAGTCATTTTATATAGCTTTTGCTGTTGTTAAATGTCGACTCTTATTACTTCAATTCATGAAGAATGTTCACCGTTTTTGGATTCTCTGTTCACCACTGAGGCCCAGTTCAGTTCAGGATTCTTGAACCTTGGTGCTATCTAAAGAACCAGCATGCCTTTCTACCAGTTTTGCATGTTATCACTGTAATCAAGACTTTGTCATCAACAGAGGGTGTTACACAATGCACAGCAGAACTAAACAGTCCAGGGATAGAACAGTAAGATGGTGGATTGCATTGATAACCTGCAAACTCAAACAAACCCAAAAACCAATATGGACCAACAACTAATGACATCACTGCACGCTCTATTTTTTGTGATGATTTCCTACTTCTCTGTCCTCTCTTTCCAACCTGTAGAATATGACACACCCACTTTATTTTTAATTGAAATGCTCTGACTGATTCAAACTTAGGAGCAGGAGCTTGAACTGCTTCCATGATGGTGGACAAGTGGTATTAGTGCTGCATTAATATAAAATAAGCAGAGATAAAAGCATTTTGATACTGTACATGTGTACAACATTCATGGATGACTTCAAACCCTGTCACTGTCTCTGACTCACTTTTTCCTCATTCTCTCTCTTTGCTTCCAGACTAACATTAACTCTGTCATGCCCCATGGATCTAAAGAACTTCCCCATGGATGTTCAGACCTGTATCATGCAGCTGGAGAGCTGTAAGTGCACTAAAACACACAATTACACACAGATGTTTGTAGTTGTATACATGTTGTTGACATAATGCATTTTCTATCCCCTTACATCATAACTAAATGACCAACCCCAACATTTGATCTTAACTAAACCACCTATCTGCTACAGTTTAAATGCAAGGAACTATTTCCTCATTTGTATTCTTTCTGTAACATAACAACAAGCTGCTACATTTTTTCATCCTGTTGGGGGTCAAGGGGGGCTGGAGCTTTGGTGGGAGGTGGGGTACACCCTAGACAGGTCTCCAGACTATTGCAGGGCTGACACATTGAGACACGCAGTCATTCACACTCACATTCACACCTACGGCCAATTAAGAGTCACCAATTAACCTGATGTGCATGTCTTTGTGTGGGAGGAAGCCGGAGTACCCGGAGAAAACCCACGCTGACACGGGGAAAACATGCAAACTCCACCCCTAAATTCATGCCCCAGGTTCAAACCAAGAACCCTCTTGCTGTGAGGCAATGCTAACCACTGCACCACCGTGTCGCCCACACAGATCTGTAGTGGTACATATACGCAGGCATATGGCGTATACCCACCTCGTGGAAGGGGGATACATTGCACACTGAACTAAAAATATCCACAGATGCATATCAGTGCACATCCTGCAGAGTAGCTGTGTTACAATATTTCATAATCTGTGTTGTTTACTGTGCTCCACAGACATTTGTTCCCTGACTTTAGCCTTTAAGGCAGGGCCTCCTTAAAATACTCCCGCAACACACCTCTGTAAAATGGCACCAAGCCTGTGGAGAAGTGGTGTCTGAAGGACAAACCCAGGGAAAACAGAAACCCATTCCCTTCTGGTCATTCTTTAAATTGTGAGCTACACTGACAGTATAAAATGGATGAGTGTACTGAAAATTACTCCAAGATAGATTTTGGAACTTTGTCAATATACCAATCTTAAACCTTTGACCTCTGAACAAGGCTGTCTGTTTTACCTTGGTATCACATGCAACTACATGCATCTGTCACTAATTTTGTTGATTTCTTTCTTCATCACCGTTGTTTCCTCCTCCTCTAGTTTATTATTCAACATATTGTTTATCAAATCATAGTGGAGCTTTGACCCCTCGATGATGCATTCGCAGTCTAAATGTTTCATGACAGTGGGCTTCTCTCTGTGAGCATCACTCATAATTAAATTGGTTAAAAAATAAATCTTCTCACAGGAATGTCCCACAAATCAACAGTCGCACATTGTTGATAAATAACTTAACATGGCTCAGCTCGCGCTTCACCACTCCTGCCTCCTCCCGCTTCAGTTTATTATTCATCATAATTGCTTCTCATGTTCGTGCTGTGTGTATATCCTATACCTCACTGATGCTGGGATCTGCCTCCTTACCCACAAAGTCCCCATGGGCACAGAGCAGCATGCCAAACCCACAGGGCCTTTGTGGGTATAGAGACAGAGCTGTGCACGCCACTGAGTGTTTGGTATGCTGCCTGGATTCATACAAGGAGCAGAACTTGTACCACCACCTGTACAGACAAGAGTTGGATACGGCAAAGAAAGAAATGAACTGAACACTGTGTAAACTTTGATATTGTAAGTCCCAGTGAGGTACGAGTGTGTGGTTAAAGGTGTGCAAACAATTATGCGTATCATATTACAAATCATTTTCTATCATATCTCTCCAATTATTTTGAATAAGAGCTGCCAATCTTCCTCTATTATCCCATTCAAATTTTCTCCCTCATACAGTACAGTAAATAACTGTAGAGCATGGTCTATTGGGGTTTGAATATATTTCAGGTGAGTTTTGCAGGATGGGATTGGTTCAGTATTACAGAGTCTTTCTATTCATATACACACACGTTCCTACATACACATACGTTTCCCCAGTTGCGTGCTTACATTTGCGTTCATACTTGGGTTGCTGCATTAGCTCACCGGCAGCAGGATAGATTTGAGAACTGGTGAATATATTTTACAGAGGGCTCCTGATTTGAACTCAGGGTGGGGGAGCCCTTCTGTGCGGAGTTTGCATGTTCTCCCTGTGTCAGCGTGGGTTTTCTCTGGGTACTCCCACAGGTCAGGCTAACTGGGACTCTAAATGGTCCGTAGGTGTGATTGTGAGTGTGAATGGTTGTCTGTCTCTATGTGTCAGCCCTGTGATAGTCTGGCGACCTGTCCAGGGTGTACCCTGACTCTCACCCAATGTCAGCTGGGATAGGCTCCAGCCCCCCGTGACCCCCAACAGGATGAGCGGTTACAGAAAATAAATGAATGTTCAAGTTGGTTTTTTTGCAAGCTGATTGTTGTTCCATCGTTATCTGTTGTGTGAGCAAATCCAACTGTTGTGAGGTGTTGAATTGTTTCCTACTTTTCCAGTTACAGTTGTTTTCTTGGTGATTTGGCATTAACATGACTCAATAAAAATAGTCAAAATTTATAGACATAACAGTTTTCTGTTAGTCACCATTTTTAGCTCAAGCCTATGGCACTTGTTTTTATGGCATGTAATGTAAAGGGTCGTCGTCAACTCAGGTAACCTAAATTCCATTTGTCTCTCCACTCCTGTATGCGGCTGCAACGTGGCTGCATACATGTGGAGGGGCGAAGCTCCACCACCCACAAAAGAGGAGAGAAACCAGTGCCATTGTTAATGACAGCAACACACAGTAAAACCTCCCCCACTAACCCAAATAATTGATTTCCCAATGATTGAATATTTGTTGTTATCTTTGGGCATTTAAAACTTTTTTCTACATTTTTTTTATTTGGCCATGCGGGGGTTTCTGCTGGCCTGGTAGCCTGCCAGGCCTGTACAATTATCAGGTTAACATAGTTATGATACCGCCTCATTTCACTACAAAAACCTAAATAAGGTGGCAGCTGGTTAAATCTGCAGTCTGATTTCAAGTGCACAGCTGATAGGTGCATGGTTTGTTTACATGAAGTGCATATCAAAGGGATTCAGTGTGGACAGAGAGCGTCAGATGCGACGCAATAGTGAGGTGCTCGCCTGCTGTCAGGACATATATCTAGTGATGCTACGTGCTGACCTGAGGGTTTGGAGCGTGTGTTGAGAAATCCAGGAATTTTTTTTTGTGAAGCGTGTGTTGAGGCCTGTATCATGATGTCACTGATGACGCCCCAAGCCACTGAGCAGTTAAGAAATTATTGTTCCTGCGTGAACTAATGAAGGCTCACCTCTATGTAATTTCCCTATAGTTACAGGAGCACTTCACTGTCATCTGCCTATTTAACTGTTGCCACTTCCAGTTTCAGAACATATATTTTCCTTGCTGCCACTACTAGGCTTTATTATGATACAATTATTGACTAAAGGATTGATTGACAGAAATTTGATGCATTAGTATTTTTCATTGTTGACAGTCATTATTCCCAAGCCTCCACTGGCGCAAAATACAGTTTATCACTTGATTTGCTGGAGAGCTTCATGAAGCTACAATTAACCCTGTAAAACCCACTGTTGCAAATTTACAACATCACTTTTAACAATTCTAAAAAAAGGCCTGCAAATGTTTTTTTTCTCAAGACCACATTTACATAGTTAATGAGTCCTATTGTTTGTCCTCACAATGCTATTGGATAGAATTAGTGTGTATAGGTCTGGTCATCTGGCCATGAACTCACTCTACCTGCAAACTTCCCGTTGAGCTCATCTCCTTTTTTTGCATGACTGGATTTGTCAGGATTAAAGTAAGTAAAATTCAAATATTTTTTTTGTGTTTATTACAATGTCTAGAACATGTACATATTTAGTTATTTTGGAAAACATTCATCAAATCTCATTTATAGCTTGTTATGTCTATGTTGTAATTCTACAACGTTGGGTCAGTGTGGTAGTCAAAATAGTCTGTGCTTCCTTACACATTACATAAGGTCACTGCACTTCTCACATGGTCACAAATTGAAAAAAAATGTAGTAGAAATTTAAAGTATTAGATGATTCATTGTAACGAAGCTCTAAATGTGCTTTTCTGTTAAATTTTTACTTAGTTTAGCTTAGACCATAATTAAACACATGAATAAATTGTATGGGGTATTTGAAGCGCCAACATCTATAGCAGTATTTGAAACTCCCTGTATCTTTGTAGTTTTTTGTTTGTTTTTTAACTTCTAAATGATCCTGAGCTATTTTTCTCAGTGTTGCCCAAGCAGCAGTTTGTAGCATTAGGAGATAGAAAAACAGGTTCTAAATGTTCTGGATTTGTTGGGGGGATGCCTGTTGCATTGTTCAGGGACAGGTGCGAATGGTCTTGAATGTGAACCTGTAAGTGCTCTGGGGGGATGCATGTGTTCCTTTAGTGATTCAGTAACATCTAAAGAACTGCTTTGCCCATCGCTACACCAAAGTGTAACAACATCAGCTGGTTCAAACTGACTGATGAACAGAGGCTAATACAAAAGTGGTAAAGTGAGCTCAGCAGTGTGACATCATGTGGTATATAATATATATTTAAACAAGAGTTTAAACTGGAGAAGGATCTGTGGCATGAAAACAAAAAAGGCTGTTTGTAACTTTAGAGTAAATAACACCAGAAGTCCTGAAGTCAGTGAAGATGTGACGGGCTGGACAGAAACCAGAGGATCTGTAACCTCTGTGATGATGATGACGATGATGATGATGGTGTGGGACATGAGTTTCATATTCAGTTTGAATGTCAGAATGAAGCTTAATGACTTCCAGAGAAAGGTATTAGCCAAAGTATTATTTGAATCGTCCATCTAAAGTCATCTGTTAACTGGGTGTTTTGTCTAAAGAACGTTCTTCCTCTGTTTGAGTAACATTGGTTGTACTTTGGCCACGCCGTGTGCCATCCTTCTGTTATTGTATGTAATGTGATATGGTCTTGAAAATGAAAATAAGAAACTGAATGTATTTGCCATCATCCAAAGGTTTTTATCACCTTAATTGGGATCAGTGGACCAACAATATCTCTTTAGCCCATGAATTTAACGATCCAATGCCTGTTGCATTGTTCAGGGACAGGTGCGAATGGTCTTGAATGTGAACCTGTAAGTGCTCTGGGGGGATGCATGTGTTCCTTTTAGTATGATAAGTAGAGAGCATAATAGGCCAGCCAGACAGTATTGTTTGAATGTAGTAAACCATTGAAAGTGATGGAGGAAAAAGTTTTGTAAATATATTTTTTTCCAATATTTTTATTTATAAATGCTTATTCATAAAACTATGATTGTTGTGTGATTATTACTCATGATATATACTGTTATGGGGCTAAGTAAGCAATCAACCCTGCAAATGAATACTTAAATGTTCTGTATATCTGTTCAGACAAAGTGAGTACAAACACAGAAGGTCTGCTCCCAACTATGCCCAACATTGCAAATTCACAACATTTCCCTAAAAACTTAATAAAATGTAAAAAATTTGAAAAATCTTTGATTTCTACATCAGAGGCCTCCTAAAACAATATCTGAGAGGTCAAAAAAAATTGCTCATTTTTTTCTATATCTGGGTCTTACAGGGTTAAATATATTTTTAGTGAGTCTTTGATCCGACGTCTTCACAAGTCTATTCTAAAGCTGAAGCATTTGACATTTATGTCTGATGTTTGGAGTTTCCCATCCCGTATCTCCACTAATGGCCAGAACTTAAGTAAATTTATGGATACCCAAGGATCGAATCACTCCATAATGCACTGTGTTACAACTTGTATGTTCCCGGAAACCCCAAACACCAGAGGCGTAGTTAGACACAGGACACACACGAGTTATAGAGTTGTGTAAAGGTATGGAATCCAAGATTGCCACATTGTTTAACGTTGTTCAGTACAGATCCCAGCGCACTACCCAACAGTGGTTCCCAACTGGTTCAGCAACAGAGTCCAGATTTCTCCAGTCATTAGTTCAAGGTCCACACAGTTTAATGTCATACTTGGGTTTGGCCATGTCGTTGAGTTAGTTTGCCAAATCCGGTGCTTTTAATGATATGTGCTCATCCAGCATCAGGCTGAGATATTTATACTGGTCAGTGACAGCAGTAATGATCCAAAATTAAAACCAACTGAACTTCTCTCCACTGATTTTCTTCTGAAATGCACTATTTGTATTTTGTCTCCTTTTCAAATTCTAAATCTTATTTCAGCATTTGATTAGTATAAACTTTTTAATTATTCAATTTATATTCAGCTCCTGAAATTCGTTCCAACAGCCCTGCCGTGTCTATCTCATGTTTTCTCTCATTTCTCATTCATCCATACATCTTACTGAAGTATATTTAGAATCATCCTCCTTCCACTGGACTGGGTACAGTATCAAAGCAGACACGTGGCTGTATCTTTTTAAGGGAATACAAAGTCGTGTTTAATAATGTTGATAGGGTTATGATGACTAATTCCTCCTTTGTCCAATCAGGAGTGCAGCCTGGCCCCAGGGGACAGATAACACTTAGACAGATTATTTGTCTTCATTGGTGGCTTTACTCTGCTCCAGCCCACTGGCCGAAGGCATTACCGTGCATACATCTAGCTCTGTTTTTTATTTATATATTTATTTATAATAGATTATTTTTATCGCTGTGTTGCTCTGGGGAAACATAAAGACACGCACATGCAGCCAGAGAGAGCCAGAGGATGACAGGAAATGATGATGCATGTTTGAGAGAAAAAAAAGTACCTTGATCCAACTCTCCAATTCATTTTGATATTATACATGACATATACTGTAGCGATAATGTGTGGTATTAAAGTGAAGTGGAGGGTAACGTGATGTGCAGATTGTCCCTGCTCAGATAATCCCATTTGTATCAGTGATATGATTTTGATGTAGACAGACGAGTGTTTTGAGTTGATGCATTTGGTGTGACCAGCAGAACTTGTAAGAGCTCTGAGTTGACAGTCAGAGCCGTTGTTTCCACCAGGGGTGATTGTAAGATTTTAAAAAATCTGGAGCCAAGCACAGATGCTTGGGTGCTTGTGTTGAAGGCTGAAGGCATGGTCTCCGCTGTTTTTTTTCTTTTTTTGAACATAGTAGGCTATGTATGTTCAAAAAAGGAAAAACTTTTCACGCACTTGTAGCTGAACCTTAAGAAGCAAAGTGAACAAAATGTTTTGTGTATGGCTGAAGGCTTGTACCAGCTGGTTTCTGCTTTTGCCAAAAAGCCCTACAGTGCACTGACTGCATGCATTTTAATGTGGCTTCCACTCTCTCTGTCATTATACTCATACATATGTTTGTGTACTTTGTTTCTCTTCCCACTCTTTCCCATTTGTAACCCTCTCCAAGTCACCATGGTGAGGAGATGGAATATAACAGTATTATTGGATTATCTGTTGACACTGTATTTCATGTTTCAAAAAGTTCATGGACTTATTTTTATTATCATAGTAAGCAGTATAATAGTCACAATAGTTTGTGTAATGGTTAGGACATCCAGCCACCTCTCAGCTGATCATCTCCCTGGGCTCAAACTGTCGCTGTGAAGTTTATTTTCAAGTCTTTTTATTGTTTGACTTGTGCATGTAACCACACTGATTGTGTATTGGGCTGTGAGCTCTGTCAAAATGGTTCGCAGTGCATCAGTACTGTCCTCAGATTTGCTCAAGTGCTTTATTTAAATACATTTTTGCTGTACGAATCTTAGTTGTTTTTTTTTATTTAAAGGGACAGTTGACACCAAAATCAAAAACACATATTTGTCCTCTCACCTGTAGTGCAGTTTATCAATCTAAATTGTTTTAGTGTGAGTTACAGAGCTGGAGATATTGGCCATAAAGGTGTCTGCCCTCTCTCCAATATAATGCACTCAGCTTGTGGTGCTCAAAGTGCCAAAAAATACATTTGAGAAACTCAACAGCAATGTCTCTCTCCAGAAATCATGACCCAGTTACTCAAGATAATCCACAGACCTTGTTGTGAGCAGTTTCATGTAGGAACTATTTTCTTTCTACCAAACTACACCTGCCAACCATATCACTGAGGAAGCATGCATCTACTCAAAGATGAAAGGCTTGTGCTTATGGCAGCGAGAGATCTAAATATTAATGGTGTTCTCCTCGGCTGAGCTAGTTATCTAGCTCAGTGGTGCTAGGTGAGCTAGCAGTAGATGCACGCTTCCTTCTCCATGGTGATACGGTTGGCATGTGTAGTTTGATAGAAAGAAAATAGTTCCCACATGAAACTGCTCACAACAAGGTCTGTGGATTATCTTGAGTAACCAGGTCATGATTTCTGAAAGGAGACAATGTTTCAAATGGGTTTTTTTTTTAGCACATTGAGCACCACGAGCCGATTGCCATGTAGTTCCATTATATTTGATAGAAGGCAGACATCTCTACAGGCCTATATATCCAACACTCAGCAACTCACACCAAAACAACCTAGACAGGTAAACAGCACTACAGGTAAGAGGAAAACTATGTCCTTTTCATTTAAGGATGAACTGTCTCTTTAATGCTGCTTTATACTTTTAAACATTTACATTACATTTTAAACAACCGATCGCTGCACTTTCAAATATGAACTGCTTCAAACCGTCTCCTACAATGAGTATGACATCAAAATGCTGCTAACACTGGGGCGTCGGTGGCTTAGTGAATAGAGCAGGAGCCCCATGTACAAGGCTGTTGCCACAGTGGCTTGGGTTCAAGTCCAGCCTATGCTGCATGTCATCCCCCCTCTCTCTCTCCTCCTTTCAAACTTTCCTGTCCTGTCCATTAAAGGCAAATGCCCCCCAAAAAATCTTAAAAATAAATAAATGCTGCTAACACATTAATACATCAGAAATGAAATTACATTATATAATGATAATTTAAAGCATTGTGCTACATACAGCTAGTCATATTACTTCTTCCACTCGTGGCTGCTGATCTGCTGTTTTTATTATGCAGACGGTGCAAACATGTAAAGCTGGTTTTGCTGCTTTTATTCATAAAATAATATACAGTGATTTTTTGAGACATAGTTCTCTATCATGAAATAGTGAGTTGGTTAAAATCACAGGGATCTGGGTGATGAGTCATTATGAACAGAGGGGGGATGGGTGCAAGAACACATTCGTTACAATGAGACATTTGACAAATGCAGCCCCGAGGACAGAATCATGACGCCTTTGCTAAATCTGTCCATCGCTTCCATGATTTTCACTCCTTGACCTTTACGTTGCATATTTTTTTTATGAGTTGTTGATTATTAAATTGTCATGTGGTTTGCTTTTTTCAGTTGGTTACACCATGAACGACCTGATATTTGAGTGGCAGGAGAACGGACCAGTCCAAGTGGCCGAGGGCCTCACGCTCCCACAGTTCATCCTCAAAGATGAATCAGACCTCAGATACTGCACAAAGCACTACAACACAGGTAACACACACATATACACACACACACACACTGCTGTAAGCATCACGATGCAGGTACTGTAATGTGCACACAGGGTGAAACGGTTGCCACATTACATCAATCATGTAGCAGCAGCGCATGTCATGCGCTGCTGGGATCAAGTAAAGAAAAAAATCAGCTGCATGAGGGAGAAACAAACAGAGTGACATCCAGACTGATGTTGTCTTTCATTAAATGGGATCTGACCACAGACAGCAGACAAACTGGGATGTGTTGTCTGTATGGGGGGGTGGGGGCACTGAATGATTCAGGAGGCTCAGAGATAAGACAGGGATGTGTATATCAATATTTATAGATTTTGGGCTTCATAACGAGCAGACCCAAAGTCCAGACCAATGTTTGCAGCCATGCTCCTCTCTGAATGCTTTCTGAAAACTGCTTATGGCGTGTCTCTGCTTTATTGCAGGTAAATTTACTTGCATCGAAGTGCGGTTCCACCTGGAGCGTCAGATGGGCTACTACCTGATCCAGATGTACATCCCCTCTCTGCTCATCGTCATTCTGTCCTGGGTCTCCTTCTGGATCAACATGGACGCTGCCCCAGCCAGAGTGGCACTGGGCATCACCACCGTCCTCACAATGACAACACAGAGTTCAGGCTCCAGGACGTCACTGCCAAAGGTCTGTGTTTGTGTATTTTATTTTTTATCTGTAGCTTTTAGGAGCCCCAGTTTCCACCCACTGTCCCAACACATGCAGGTTAGATGAATGAAAGACTCTAAATTGCGTGTCAAGTGTCAGTGTGAGTTTGAATGGTTTTCTGTATTTGTCAGTCCTGTGATCGTCTGGCAAGCTGGTGATATGCCCAAGCCCCCTGCACAAGATAAGCTAGCTATGTAGTAAAAAGTCTGCTGGAGTCAAGCTTCAAACTTTGGAGAGTGAATCCCAGGAACAAAACATGAAGGAGTTATTGGAGTAGAACTTTTTCTTTTTCTTATGAGACCTCATGTCTCCAACAAGATTCTAGAGCTCAAGTGGTGTCAGCGAGATGCTGCACTGTGGTTGAGTTTGAGTGAGAAAACAGTTCATTAATTTTGAACGATGTGGTCATTGGATGCATTTGGTGTCAAAGCAGTGAAAAGTGATCCTCAGTTCAGTCCACATTGACTGCTGCTGTCCTCATTGTGTGAAGAGTTTTGAAGAAGTGAACTCTGAGCAAGAGGGCTGTGCGATATGCTGAAAAAAAAGATGCCACAGACACCATAACAGGCGATATGATGCACTCACTGTCTTTGGTTTAATTTCACTCACTGTTTGATGATCCAGGGTGCTTCAGTTGGTTTAAGTGTTGATTGATTTGCAGGATGTATGGTGAGTTGCAGGATGACGTTATGAACTGATTGTCTTGACTGTCACATTTAACAAACATTCAAGCAAATGTTCCCCAAATAAACAGACCTTTACCAAAACAAAGCTCAAATCAATGGGGTATGAAACGACTTTATCATCCAATAAAAACTAAGATTAACCAAATAGGCAGTGGTTAAAGACTGTAACCCTGTGGCCTCTTCCACGCTCCACACTCACTTCATTTTCCCTGCCTTTAATTAAAGGTTCCGGAGATGCCAGGTCAGGTGGCGCATTAAAGTGACTCAAAAAATAATAGGGAACTAGGGCTTGCTAGAAGTGGCTCCAACACATTTATTTTGACAGATGAGTCAATGAGTTACAATTTTAGTGGGAATAGCAATTTTTGCATTTCAGTTTCACTGGTGTAACTGGTGCCTTCATCCCCACCGCAGCAGGGTGAAAAGGCAGTTATCCGGGTGGCTGAGATGTTTAATGATTCTCTTGGTGCTATTTTTGCAGCGTCTGGTGTAAACAATGTGCAGGGTGGAGTAGTGCCTACGGTCTCTATGATGATGATGATGTGATTTTTGCTGGGGACTGTACCAAACAAACATGTCCCTTTATGTCTGGAATATTATTTGTCAGTGAGGGCGTCTCTGTAGCAACACACTGCTTCATTTATAATGGTGTGTTGTGACACATTTTACCTCTATCATAAAATTGCAGCTCCTGCTATTTGGATATTACACCCTGCCATATTTTTTTTTGATTAATGCTGCAGCCTTACTGAGCAACTGTAAAAAACTGTATTTATTTATTTGGTATAATGCAAATATAACATGCCACCACCGCCCCCATCATGCTTTAGGCGATGTAAACAGGAAGTGTAATGGTGCTATAGAGTCAGTTAGCCGTGGGCTTCACCCGTGCTCCGTTAATGTTTGTTTGTTTTTAGTATTTTTAGTATTGTTTTACATTTTGGTGAAGCTGCACCATTAAAACTCTGGACTCTATCTGCTGTATTGTAACTATGGATGCACAGACAGATTGTGTCCATCTGGTTCAAAGGGTTAAACACGGTACATACAAAAAGGTAGGTAGTAGATGGAGGTGGACAAACAGAGTGTATGTGTAGCAGAGCTGATTTATTCTCTCTCCTGGGATCTGAAACAACTCGTTTTTATTGGTGGATGTTGTGCATGGGAAGGCGCGAGTATGTGTTGATTACACACATCATGTATCCGCTAGTGCGTGTGTGAGAAAGTGTCCCTCAGTCTTGTTTCTGGTATCTTGTATGCATGAGAAAAAATCACAAATGGAGCACTTTGTTACATAACCCTTATTAGCACACCCATCTCTCTCACACATACTGTACACATACACCTCAACAACATGGCTGAGTGTGTGTGTGTTTATAGGTTAGGAGATTTCTCATGTTTCCGGTGCTCAACAGAACTTTGCACTCCAGCATGTAACACATGTCTGAATAAGTCATAATTTCATAAAGAAATGAGGTTGCATCATTTTGACACCACAAGCATCAGCAGCACAGCCACGGGGAGTGTGTGTGTGTTTGTGTGTGTGTGTGTGTGTGTGTGTGTGTGTGTGTGTGTGTGTGTGTGTGTGAGTGTGTGTGTGAAGGGCAGCAGCTGCAGCCCTAAAACACTGTCTGTAATGATTGTGGTAAAATATGAGCCGGCTATAGGACATACATGAGATTATGGGTTTTCATGAGGGGAAGTTACTGCAGGGGGACTGCCAAATTATTGTTTGATCATTTTTTTAACACTTTTTCTACAAAATTAAAATATTTCTGAAAATACCGCAAAACTTCAATTAAAGCGTAGTATCAATTTAATGCACAGTCCCTTTGACTAGCCCGGTGTGGCTACACATTTTGACAAATAAATGCCTGTCTCAATAGATGCCTGGTCTGGTCGGCAAGCAGTTCATTTTTTTTTTGGAGAAGTTCTTCAGATGTATAAAAGCAGGTTGTTGGCTGCAAGTTATTCATATTCCTTTAGTCCGTAAGTTTCCTCAGATCAAAAGAATCAACTGGTTTTTCGTAAAAATTGATTTATGATGTGAGTATTGTTTTAACAGGATAAAGTGGCGTTGTGTCGGCATGCCAGGTGGCGTAATCCGCAAGTGTCATAACTCTGTCTCTGATGTGCTGTCTGTTGGAGCTAGATCAAATGAATGATCTATAATTGATCATAATGTTACCTGAAGCCTAATTTCTGTACAAGTAATATTCACACTGGTTTAAACAAACAATTTGATTGTATTTCCCATCTTTGCTGAGCAACAGTTTTGTTTGAAAGGAATTAAAGGCCTGTCCCAAATATAGCCCCGTTGATTTCAGTGATTTAAGTAAATAATAGCCTGGGCTATTAATTCAAGTTTTACGGTACAAATTAACATGAATCCAACATTATATTATGAAAGATAAATCGGCCTACTCATTAAAAAAAACAAAAAAAACATTTAATTTACACTACACAACACTGATGATAGACTAACTGTTAACGATGAATCCTCGTCAAATGAATCTATGCTGTGTACACATAGAAATCTGTCAGTAATTATTATTTTAATAGCAAAGTATTGTATGCACCATATAAAAGTATGTTTATAAATGCTACTTTAGGTCACCCTGTGCATGATTGTCGGACCAGTTTAATATGCAACTCAATTTTATATATGCATTAGGGGGTCCCTGCTCCGTCTCGCTTTCAGCTGAGGGGCCTCTGGCCTGAAAAACGTTGATGACATTTAATCAGTGCTTCTCAACCTGGGGGTCCTCAAGGGACTTTTGGAGGGTACCCAGAAAAATATGGAATAGTTTGTCTTTGCTATTTAATTGAGAATGAGTCATAACAGTGAAGTCCTGATCATACAGTAGGTTTCACTTCCTCCACAGTTATGTTAACTGTGGGTGGCAGCTGCAGAATACTGGTCTTAATCAACTCTTAATCAAAATCTTTTCAGATGGAGGTTCCTGGAGCATAATAAATAAATAATAAACAGGGGCCTGTGACCTAATGTGTTTCAGTTTAGGGTTCCTTGACATTAAAAAGACTGAGAGTCACTACATCAGAGGAAGTGAAATTATTCTTTTGTGTACAAATATTTTTGACGTACTGTTGTGAGAGAGATTTAAACCATTTTCAGTGGAGTTGGACAAAATATTGTATCCCACTCTGTCTGGTTGCTTCAGGGTTTGGGTCACAAGGTAAGTATCAAACACACTGTCTTGAAGATGTAGCGATCAGTCAGGCAAAATCTAAAAATGTCAAAAGTGAACTGACCTACTGATTTACCATGCTGCCATCCCTCAAGCCCGTCTCAAGCAAGACCTAATGCTGAAGTTCACCTGTGGTCAGCAGCACCTCATGTCAGAAACAATGTAGAAACAAATATGTACCTCAAAATAAAATCGACAGTCTAAGGCCTGTGGTGGGTGCAGATCTGCAGATTGACACTTTAATTAATGCGGTGTGTATGTGTGTGTTTGCAGGTCTCTTATGTGAAGGCTATAGACATCTGGATGGCAGTGTGTCTTCTCTTCGTCTTCTCTGCGCTGTTGGAGTACGCTGCCGTCAACTTTGTGTCGAGGCAACATAAAGAGCTGCTGCGATTCAGGCGGCATCACAAAAGCAAGAGCAAGGTACAGGAAAATCCTACACATGCTACTATGTATACCTGCACACAGACATGCACATGTACACACAGACTTATATACTTAGTTTGTTGTTCTTGCAACTCTGGTTTGAGGCTGCCACCTGGTGGTGACATGCTGTTCCAGCTTGCTGCTTAGAGGACAACATTAGATTAGAAAGAGGTAGAAGGGGGCAAAAATCACGATGTAAGAGAGTAATGTTGAAAACAGTAGATACAGTGATAGTGCATCTGACTGTGCATGTTTGACTCTCCTGAAACCCCACATCTCACTGACTGTGTTAGTGCATGTTGCAGCATGGCTCTACCTTCATCTGTTTGGTTATATAATTTAAACTTTATTTCGTATAAAGTTATTTCTCTGACAAAAGTTCATCCAAACAGAGGATGAGTCTGTTGTCAGTGCATGTTTACGATCTCTGTGGGTTGGGAAGGTGTCAACTCCGCATTCAGTCAACTCACACACAGCATTTACTTATTTTTAATGTGTTAAAAGGTTTAAATTTGTAGAGCTGGAATTGTTGGAAATGTTTTATTTCTGTGTGTAGGCTACACATTTTTACAAGTAGAGAGTGTAGAAATATGTTTAGGCCTAAAACAATGATAAATAAAAACGTATGTGGCTCCAGAGCCACATGTTGCCTACCCCTGGTCTATACCCTCCATCATTTTCTCGCTAGTGCCCGATCGATACTGCACGTGCAACTATCAACAGAGGTGAGAAAAAAGTGAGATGGCTCACTCCTTAGCTATTTCAATCATCAGCTCTATCTTAGCACTTGTCTGACGCAGCAATTTACTCTCCTGACATGGCATTTTACTTACTTATTGTTGATCCCTGCCATGTAATAGTCCTTCAGTCTGGTCGGGAATTAAGTTCTGTGGGTCCAATTGGATTCACCATCAGGTGTCAAGCACAAGTTAAGTACATTGTTTGTGTATATTTTTAGCAGCAGAGAGAGCTGCTGGTGTTGCTGTAACTTATTGCAAAAGTAAAAAGCAGTAAGAACTGCAGTTTTCTAATACTGCTGTTTGTGCTTTAAATATGTATGAGATAATATTATTTGACAGTTATTCTATAAAAGTAATCGTTCAGGGAATTGTTTAGAATTTAGACAAAAAAACTAAAGCAAAATCTGTTTGGCAGCATCTAAACATTTAACACATTCGTTGACTGAATGATCGGGAGTCCCAACCCTGTTTTTGGATGCAGTTTGTTTTGTTTTTCCTTTGGTTTCTGTCTGTTCATCACTGGTGTGCATGCTGTCTACCGGTAGAACAGTGGAGGTGCAGTTGATCCAGAGGAGCTAGCTGCCTCCCTCCGTCGTGTTAATGTTGACAACGGCCTCAAACCAACAGACCCTCCTTATGGATCTATGAGCAACATCTACACCAGCAACCACAGGGTAATGGCACAGTGTGTGTATGTATGTGTGTGTGTGTGTGTGTGTGTGTGTGTGTGCACATTTTTACATACTGTGCATGTTTCACTTGCATGTATTTTTTGTACGTCCTCCCCCACCAGTTTGCTCGTTTGAACGAACAAACAGGACCACTGTTTGATGTTTGTTATAACCTCAGTTAAGAACTGCAGGTACGGCTCATGTTGATGCAACAAACTGGCACAATATCCAAGATTTTACTGGACAATGGGAAAAGTTAAATGTTGAGTACGGTGTCTCGAGGATACCTTTAACATTTTTGAGCAAGCTTAGGAAATGTTCCATGATGACTGGTTATCAACCATTAATTTTTTTTTTTTTACAGTCGGTAACTTCCTTTTGTCCAATCTGTGGTCACATTTTCAAAACTCTAAAAACAATTAATAATACAGGGCACCCAGTAGCTCACTGGATAGAGCAGACATCCCACATATAAATCTATTGTCCTTGCCACAGTGGCCGTGGGCTCAATTCCAGCCTGCATGTCATCCCCTCTCTCCCCATTTCACACTTAAGTCTGTCCTCTCCACTAAAGGCAAAGAGCTAAATAATATTAACTTAATTTATACAACATAATTCATGCATACACTGCAACACAAAGTGCAGCACATAAAAGACAATCAAAACATATGTGATTAAAAAAAGATGAAAAAAAAAATTGCAATAAAATAAAATTCAGTTAAATCTGCAGGCCTAAATAAGATAAAACTTCATCAGTTTAAAAACATGTTTCAGGAGGAGACAATGATAAAAAGATGTGTCTCAAGATTTCATTTGAATGTTTCAACAGGCTGAGAGCCCTGAAGACCTTCAGGGAGACTGTTTCAGAGTTTAGAAGCATAATGAAAGGCTGCCTCTCTGTATCTTTCAGTCCCGACATCAGGGACAGTCAAGAGGATTGAGTCAGAGGCTCTCAGGGACATAACAGGCACATATATCTTGACCATGTCAGACAGATAAGATGAGACAAGGCCATCAGTGGTTTAAAAACCAATAAGAGAATTTTAAAATTAATTCTGTGACAGACAGGTAACCAATGTACTGATTTTAAGATTGGAGTAAGATAAGATAAGATAAGATAATCGTTTGTTCGTCCCACAGCAGGGAAGGTTGCTAAATTACAGCAGCAAAGGGAACAAACAGGAAGCATCAGTCCAAAAAAAAACAACAACCACAAAGTAATGTATAAGTATGCAGAGAATGTAAAATTATGACAGTAAATTTTTAACTTGAAATTCCAGTTTTATCACAAATCTTAGGGTGTGTGCACTTGGAAAAAAATGCAGGATTGATTCATCTTATCAGGCTGTTAAAGCAAAACAAAATACAGAGCATGAACCTCCGAGGGACCAAAAGTATGCTTAGTTATGAAATGTATTACTTTCAGGACACAAGGCTCACAGTGTTACAGAACGGTCAGAGCCCCACACCCCATAGATACAACATAAAAAAGGACATTTGATATAACATACAGATGTAGAATATGGTTGCAAAAACATGGTTGAAATAATAATTTAAAAAAAAACAAACATAAATTAAAATAACTAGATAAGAAAGATAACAACAGTATTGACGATGATCCCCAAAAGTATTACAAAATAAGCATTTGGGAAATCTTACATGGCACTAGATAAAGTTTGCTTCCACTCAGAAGGGTATCAATCTTTTAACAAAGTTTCTTTAAGTGCAGATGGTAAATAGTTTAGGAAAAGGCTCCAGATCTTAAGAAATGAGTCCTCATCATCCCTGAGGACAGCACTTATTCTTTCATGAGGTAAGACACTTAAAATCTCCGTGTACCAGACTTTTACTATGCGTTGGGTACAAGATGCATTTACAAGCAAGGAGCAAAAGTTTGTCCAGCAATCTATAATGCTTATGGGAGAGCGCTACTTTCTTTTGAGATGACATTCTTAAAGACATCGAGTGTCAAATGAATTATTTCTGCACTTACCAATCCAATTCAAGGTCAGTTTTATATATAAAGAAAGCAGTATATCACTTTAAGAGTCCATCAGTGGCACTTGCAGCCTGTGAAGAGAGAAACAAAAGGATCACTTGTAAGCACTATTATCTGACCTGTGACCTCTTCCTCCTCGTCCTTGTCTCCCCAACAGGAAGGGGAAGCACATGAGAGCAGACTGACCTCCACAGCTGCGGTGACCTCCACTCCCAGCAACAGCAAGGACATGAAGGCCAGCACCAACAATACTGTTACTGTTGTGAACACACCAGGAGCCACAGCAAACACGGCCCAGAATCCACCTGGAGCAGCGGCAGGTGGAGGGGGTAAAACCACCGAAGAGATGAGGAAGTTATTTATCGACAGAGCCAAAAAGATTGACACTGTGTCGAGGGCCGGCTTCCCTCTGGCCTTCCTCTTCTTCAATATATTCTACTGGGTTCTTTATAAGATACTCCGACATGAAGATGTACATAAGCAATAGAGAGAGGAGGAGTATGTGCACACACACACACACACACACACACACACACATACACATCACTTCATTATCTACCTTATTTCCTTTTCCTGTAACCATGACCTTACCCTGACCTTAAGAAGCATTCAGGATGGCCTCACCTCTTCAGAGATGTCCTGACTCTGAAGGCGTAAAGCTCATATCAGTTGTCACAAACAATGTACAAAAACAGGATCAAGAATTAGTAAATCAAAGAGTGCAAACTCTGCAGTGGCAGAGTGATGAGATTATTTTTCCTCTGTAGATTTACAGCAGGGTGCTCTCTAAGAGATACTGACTGTGGGGAATATCTGAATCTCACAACGTCTGAAAGCAGAGTTGATTATTTACACATATTGACAGTGTCTGAATTCAGTACTCATTCATAAACATATTCTGCCAACACGTTTTCACTCCCAACTCATCACATACTGACGCTTGGTCAGTGGCCGTACACATTGCGTCGATATTGCTCATTACATGCTCTGTCTTTTTAAAAATACACCTCTGTTTTCACAGGAAATGTACAGTTTCTGTTCAATAAGAAATGCATATAGTCTCTTTCCAAAATAAACTTGCAGCATAGGTTCACTTCCTCAGGTTTAGGCAACATGCCTTCCGGTTTGGCTTTAAATAAGTATGTTTGTTACCAACATAACTTTGAAAGCCTTTGTTGATATTGCATAGGAATACAACAAATTTAGTTGTGACACTCAAGTGATGCGTTCCAACAAAGAACATAAAAATCCAAGAAACAGTGCATTGAGTGAGGATAAAATGTGCAATAAATAAATAAATATAAAAGTATTTAAAGTGCAGCAAAGTGCTTAGTGGATGGCAGAATGGCAATAGTAAACATATTAGGTTTTTGTTTTATTTAGTGTGCTGATGGCTGTGGGAAAGAAGCTGTCTCTGAGTCTGGTGGTTCATGTTTTGGCAGCTCTGTAACATCTGTCACATGGCAACAGTTTAAAGAGTTAATGACCAGGGTGACGTGGCAAGTTCTTCAGTTACGCAACTACATACCAGCACGCTAAGCTACAATGTTATCAAAATAACTTGGTTGACTTTTAGTTTTACATGAACAGCTGTCTCCCAGGTGAAAGTTTATTGTATGTTTGACCCATCCAACTTCCCCATACAGATCTCCTTGCTCTAATACTACAGCAGTTGCTCAGAGAGTACAAAATGACGCTGTTTGGTGCATCTTATACTGCCACAAAAGGTGCCTCAGTGTGCCGGTATCTGCCACCAAGGGCCATTGACCACGCATTGGTATATGACAGGTCGGGAGTGAGACCAGGTCGATCTAATATATGGATATGTGCTATACTCATGAAGCCAGTATAAATGAACAAATAATCAGCATGAGTCTGCTGAGACATGGAATTATTTGAAAATCTGTGTCGATGAGATGATGGAGGGAAAACAAGTTAAGGAAATGTGACAGTGTGATGCAAACAGGGAGTTTTAAACCAGAATTATGACACCCAAAAAATGTGGTCACTTTCGCACAAACTCGTTTTATAACAGACTGATAACAACAGAGGCAACAACAGAGAGAATCATAGCAGCCCAGTGGAACTGCTTCAGTTGAAGTGTTGGTGTCTGATGAGACATATTCAGTTGAAATATCTGGTCTGTTAAGGATGAAGTGGAGATCTTAATCACCTTTTCCTGTGGCTTAGCAGGGTGGAGAGTTGTTACATTTGATTAGACTGAGTGCTTCAAGAAGATAAACATGCTACAGCCATGGCAAACAGTGTAGAGGGGAAAGCTGGACCGGATAAATATCATTCTAAATTTAACTTGTAATCCTTCAAGTTAACAATTATTGATATATTCTCATCTGAGGGACATTTCTGAGTCATGACAGGTTCTGTATGTGACATTAAAAGAATTGATATAGCAGTCAACCATGGTTAGCTATATGGTGTAATAGCATCCGGAACAGAGAATGAAGTGAGGCTGGCTCTGTGTGTGTTGTAATCCAAGCTTATCTGTGGTGTGGTTGCACTGCACTCATACAGCAGTTACCACTGATATTGCAACCCAGCCTCACTCCGAAGTCTTCAAAATCTGGCGCTTGGGCAGTGACTTGTGGTGTCAGACACAGACAAAACAAGCTGTCCTTTAATGTCGGCGTGATGCGCAGCCGGTCATCATTATACTGACCAGCGACGTCAGGGGAAATGTGGTGGCGCAAGAATGAAAGTTAAAGCAGCAAAAATCCATATGGGGCAGGCAGGACTTGTAGTGGATGGGTCCAACAAAAGCTGACTTTCGAGAGCAGAGAGCGGTGTTCACATACCGTAAGATTCTAAAGCCAAACCCTGTTCCTTTGCCTATAGCCAACCACGTGTGATTGTTGTTGAAGGAAATAAAGCATCAATTTGAGATGTTGTACTGACATAGTGCATTTATTTTGAAAGAGACTGTATGCAAACAGTAAATTTCCTGTGAAAATGGAAGTGTATTTTGAAAGAAGACAATGCAGAACTTGACACAGAAAGTGTCAAGAACTTCAACAACCAGCGCACCCAGGGGAGCAGGAGCCTTGCATGTCGAATCTGTACGTGGAAAGCCTATGACCAAACGTCGATATGTAACAAGGTTAGAGTGAGAATGTGTTGGATATTGGGATGCTGTTGACACGGATACGTAGCGCGGGTTAACACGTCACCTCTGTCAGCACTGTTGTTGCTGTTAAATGGTGTTTATTGAGTTAGCACCACGAGTTGCGAGCCAGACAACTCAAACTCTCTGAGTTTCACATACACTCTGTAAAGGGCAGTTATTAGGCGTTATGTTTTTAATCGTCTGTTCAGTATACCGGATATCACATGTTTGTGGCTGACACACTTGCAGCTGCAGTGGTTTTATCATTTCAGAGGTGTGAAGAGTAAACAACCAGATCTGCATGCTATAATGATTACACAACACACTTATTAAAACAGCAACCATGAAGGGTAGTGCAATCATTTGTACTGTAATTAGTGGAAATTACTATAATAATCATGAGTCTATGGCCAAGAAAAAAAGCTATGGTGGTAGATCAAAGGTCATGACATCATTAAAATGAAAACACTTTGTCTCATACAGAGTGTAAATGTGATCACGTAATTCATAGAACTATAAAACATCTTACACTCATCCAAAATGGAAAGGGTTTATCTCAAAAGTGCATGAATAAACAATCTGTTAACTTAAATTCAGGAGTTGTTAAGATGCAGTATGTTGCCCTGGACCAAGGTCAGTCAATATCAGCATCCTCGGTTTTCTGATGCTAGTGAGGCAAATCCCAATACTGCCAAAAAATCATAGTATCCCTTTAGGAGCACCATAAAGTGGCTGTAAAAGTTTGTGTGTATTTTTTTTATTTATTTATTTTTTCTATCAAATTTCCAGTCCTCTTTTCCTGACATTGTTACTGTGAGACACCTGCCCTCACCTGGGACTTCTCAAGACTTCCAACACTGTGACAGAGACCAAGACAAGCCTGAGAACGAAAGTGGAATTGAATTAATACTGTACTTGACTTAAAGACAGTGAACAGCTAAAAAAGCTCCAGATATGAGAAGACAGCCAGCACGGAGGAATTTCATTACAAAAATCAACCATGATAAAAGACTGCCATCATGGTGCTTTGATCAATCAATACTGTTGTGGAGAGACAATGTCCTGTAACAGACTGGAGATGGAAAAGTCTCCTCAAAGACGTGGAATATTAGGAACCACAAGAGCACACGCACACACACACGCATGAATTACACACTGTTTCGCCCACTTGTGTCTTACAGCTCAGCTGCCAATGTTGTGTTTTTGTCCCCTACATTTTCAGCCCCACCTAATACTTCTCATTACACCCACACACAGCTGTTACCACCAAACCCCACTCTCTACATGACTGTTTTTATTCAGTTATCAAACAGTAAAAACCTCCTTGTTTACACTGTGACTAATGTTACAACTCCTGTGGTACTTTGCAGTTCGCCCTTATGTTCAGTCGCACACAGGTTCCTTTCTTCTTCGAGCATTTAGACTTGTTTTCTACCTTTTCAGAAAACTAGAGTTTAGAAACTCTTTTGTTTGTGTGGACATTTTTTCTAACTCAGTGAAACGATAAAGGGAGAAGTGAAGTTTATTGTTTTTGTGTCTCCTGCAAATACATTCATATGCAATTATTTTGTAACAGAAATTTACACATGGATACAACATTTAAAGGTCCAGTGTGCAGGACGTAGGAGGATATATTGGCAGAAGTGGAATATAATATAATAAGTCTGTTTTCTTTCGTTTGTAATCACCTGAAAATAAGAATCATTGTGTTTTTGTTCCCTTAAAATGAGCCGCTTATATCTACACGGGAAGCAGGTCCTCATCCATGGATATAGACCCTTTCAAGGCTGACGTCAGTTTGTTAGTTGGAGGCAAAACACAATGCCACCACAGGGCTGTGGGCAACATAGGAGTTTTAAAATGTCGTCTTGTTGTGTTATTAGAAGCCAGGATAAAAGAAGTCATGGCTCAAAACCTAAATGTTATCACATACCAACCACCACTGCCTGTCAACAAAAACAAAAACAGCTATGGTTAAATGCGATAAGACTGAAGGCCTGGACGGAGGCCATCATCAAAGATGCCCACAAGGGCAGCGCACACTTATCAGCTTAGGAAAAAGTATTTCCTGTTGTAGGGATGAATGACGTTATGTGAATTAAAGGTTATCATGTCCACCTGATCAGAAATAGGGGAGGTATTAAGAGGAATATTGAATATCTCCATAACACAAACCTTGTATCACATTAACTAACGTTAGCTTTGATAGCAAAACAAACTGGAAACCACTCAAGTGTCGTCCTCCTTTTTAAGTTTGGCATAGTAATCAACCACAAAGCCATCCATTCCACCTCCGGCAGTCCTGTCAAATCATCAGTCCACTGAGTGAGAGCATACAGGTCGGCCAGTCTGGTCCCGCTGTTTAATTATTCAAGTAAAACTCGCGGTCCCGGAGAATGAGTGACTTGACATGGCACGTTTGTGAATTCAGTCTGACGCTCTACACTAACATGAGAGCCCTGTTGGTTGAAGAAACGGAGCGTTCTATTTTTCTTAGGCTGACCAAACATCCTCTTTTGCCCGGACATGTCCACTTTTCCGTGTGTTTGTGTGTGTGTGTTAGAGTGCGGCACGGGCCGCATATTTCTGTCCGAACCCGAACCGAGCCCAACATTATTTAATGACCAAAGCACTGAGTTTGTGTCACACAGTTGTTATGGTTACAGGCTATTTAACAGGCCGGGCGTGCTCAGCGGAGAGGGAGACCTCCGTGTTTGAGACGGGAGCGGGTGGCGGGCGGTCTGATGCTTCCAGTGAGGGGAGAGGGAGAAATATAACAAAATAAGATAAAATAGGAAAAACCTGTCTCCCTCTTTTATTTTATTTTCAGCGTTTAATCAAGGTGGAGGCGGCAGCTGGAGGTCCGAGACTTCCAGCGAGGAGAGAGATAGAAACAAACAGCCATTGTGTGTCTGTGTGTGTTATGTTCAGGTGTTGTCACGTAAATAACAGTGCCCAAGCAATAAACAGGACAGACAATAGGATTTTATTTATTTTTACACTACATTTTCACTGAAAGCTGACCAAATCTGACCTGAGCCCGAATACAATTTATAGCTACATTTTTGACCAAACCCGCCCGACCTGTCGGGTACCGTCGGGCTGGGATCGCCACACTCTAGTGTGTGTATATGTCCCTATTGGGGCCTATCTGAATTTCTGTCTTTGAGAGAGATTATTTTGTGATGTAACTGAATTTTCTATCCGTACATATAAATTTTAAATATATTAAAATGATAAGGCATCTTTGAGTAAACTGCGAGTATCATTTAAGTAGGCTATGTCCTGGCCGGGCAAGTGTCCTCTTTTTTGGAAATCAAAATATGGTCACCCTAATTTTTCTATATTAATTAACACACAGTTAAGTTAATCACACATTCACTCAGCTCTGCGATCTGCCACTCCACCTCCCCAGACAGAGTGTCCAGAGTGCGCTCTGCCACTCTGAGAGAGTGGTGCTCTGGATAACAAACGGTACATTCAGACAACATTCTGAATTTATGAATGGTCCAGTTTGTGTCAGAGTATTTCTGAATTCACCACTCGCATCATCTTCCTCCGCTGTCTAAAACAAGCCAACAGAACTTGGAGAATTGTTTTGCCTCCAGCGAAGCCCCACCCACCAAAAAATGTCATACTGTTTACTAACAGTAAAAGGCGCAAGTGCCATGTTGCATGGTCATGTTTCTACAGTAGCCCAAATTGGACAAACCAAACACTAGCTATAGATAGGGACATTCGTATTTTCGCGTCAGCCACCATAATTAGCAGCCCCTCTGCAAGGAGAGCATCAGAAAAACATTGTTTTTTAATGTGAATCTACTTTTATCTTTGTTTTTACCTGTTTTAATCACCAGGTCTGTTTGTTTTGGAGAGGAGGAGGCCTCTGCAGATAATCTGACTCCTGGTAAAAACCTCCTGAACAATGAACACTGAAGAAATTCTAACATGAGGAAATTTCAGCTGGTTGCGATCCATAATCCTCACCACTAGATGTCACTAAATTCCCCTAAATCTTACACACTGGACCTTTAAATTGACTTTATTTGAGATTATTACATGTTGAGTGCCAGTGTAGGTCATAGGGGAGCAATTAATGCAATGAAAAGTCAGTTTAGGGAGGACATGTGGTGTGCGTGTGTAATGGATGTAAAGTCATTTGTGTCCCTTAAAAGTCAATATCAGTCTGCAGTTTGTGAGTCTGAAATGAACTTGGTATACTATATTTTGTAGTTATGCAATCAGATCAAGTCCGTTGCCAAATTACTGTTGGTTGATGAAACTTTGGCCTCAGAGTACACACTATTTCTTTGGAATTTCATTGTGTTTTCTCAGAAACAGCTTGGCTCTAACTTTAATTCTTGTCAGCTGTTATTAACATCAGCCAATGCTGCAACATTCAAACTATTTGTGTTTGAAACAGTGGAGGGGTCTGCAGAGATTTCTGTGCTGTAGTATTATATTGTGTGTTTCTTTCTCTTGAGACAGCCATGAGTGCTTTAAATCTATGTTCAGCCCACTTCCTACAAACTACATTTGATTTACTGCCAAAGCATACTGTAGTGTTTCAGTTTTTCAGTTCAGTGTCCGTCAGTGTGACTTGCAGAGTTGTGAAACTTGCTTGAGATATGCCATCTGTTAAACAGTAGTGATCATAGTGATAAGATTGTCACTGTTTCAAGCCTCTACATGTTGATTTACATACTTTAAGGGAAGTCAGTGGAACAGAATGTGTCAGCTAAAATATGCAACAAGTCCTGTGTGAACTTTTGAAATTCC